CGACGGGACACCGGACCAGCTTGTCCCCAGCGACACCGCCACCTCCACCGCCAAGGCGAACCCCGCGTCAAAGAAGCCGACCCGCAAGAAGTACGTCCTCACCAAGCGCCGCCAATACTGGACCGAAGAAGAGCACGCGCGCTTCCTGGACGCCCTGGCCAAGCATGGCCGCGAATGGAAATCCATCGAGCGCATCGTCGGCTCCAAGACCGCTGTCCAGATTCGCTCACATGCTCAGAAGTACTTCCTCCGCCTCGAGCGACAAGGACACTGCCTCCCGCACTCAGCCTCCTCCGGCCCTCCGTCCCAGCCTTCTCAGCCTCAATTTTCCCAGCCCGTTTATTCGCACCCGGCCCCGCCCGCTGTCCCATCTCACACGTCTTACCAATCTGCCCCGCACCCGCATCCTTCGTCTCATTCTCACGCCTATCCCCCATCACACCCCGCTCAAGTCTATTCCCATCCGCACCATTCCGCTCCGTACCCAGCACCCCCGCATGTTATGCCCGCCTCAGACCCTTACTCTGTGCAACACCCATCTTCTTATCCTTACGCCTACTACATGCCCCAGCCCTCGACCGACTATTATTCCTCTTACCCCCCGGCCCCACAACACCCATGTCCTTGTGCTGAGTGCTTGCCCCAACACCCTTCAGTCTATTCTCCCTACTATGTCGCTCCTCACATCAACCACCCGCTGACCCATCCTCAGCCCCACCATCAGCCCCATCATCAGCCCTACCCCCGACATCATGTACAACAACACACACATCATCACTACTCCAGCTCTCAAATCACTGCTCAGCGTCCACAGTCACCCACCACTGCGCTTATCAATCACCAGTCTCCGGCTTACCCCAGTGTTCCAACAGCACCGCAGGTTCCCACCGCCTCGATCCCGGCCCCGACTTGCATGCCCCACGCCCCACGCACTCCTGCTTCGGCACCGGTGCCCGCTCCGACATCGCTCCGAATGCCGCCACAAGCTCAAGTTGGCGCCGCCTCCTCTACCCCTGCTTCTCCTCCGCGTCTACTGGGAAGGCTGCCATCCATTGTACCGCCACCCGCTACAGACGCCGCTCGTTCCAATGTCTCGCTCCTGCTGACGGCTGGCAAAGAACTGGAGGCTCGCAAAGCTTTGCCTATGCCTGCACTCCCACCGCTTATGGGCAAGGGGCCTACCATGGTTTCAAGTCCGATCTCTTCGCATGATGGAGGAATTTCGAAGAAGCGTGGTTTCAGTCATACCGCTCCTTCTCCGTCCTCGACCCACGATCAACTGGTCCCGCTTTACTGTGATGGCGCCCCGCCGAAGGTCCCAGAACCCACTGTCACCCTTAAAAAGCGCAGAGTTCAGGACGTGGAAGACGGGAATAATTCCTACAAAACCAGGAGAAAATCCCCGCCGCATTCGGGTAACACGGACAATTTGCCGAAGAAGAAGGGATGTTCCTGGGGACACAGCAACCCGGGTTCCCTTCACCACATCCTGTCCGACGAAAATTCGGACAGTCGAGTGCCGGTGATGCAATGACAGACCAGTCGGGTAGGCTGCTTTATTGATCTTTGTTTTCATGTGGGGGTCAACGCTCTTTGTGCCGTTTTACCGTACATCCTCACACGGGTCTTCTCATGTAATGCCATAAGATCTGCCGGTATATAGTAGTCATTTTACACGGAGTGATTACAACCTAGTCGTCAGGGGACGACCGACTGATGCACCTCCGTTCTGTAGAAGCTCTGCTTTTCGGCACGCAGGATGGATGTACCTTTTCGTGAACTCATTAAACGCTCTTCGCTTTAGATGCCTAAAGGGCCCTTCAAAGTGCCACTTAAGCTTAGATTTCCTTCATTTGTCGCCGCAGCCGTGTTGGGTGCAATCGCGACCGACAGACAAACCTGAAATGATCTTCCATTCCAACACAGATCAGTTTTTATTTTGCAGGAGCGTGACATCACTGCATTGTTTCCGGGGGTGCGTCCTGTTCCCTTGTTTAACAACACTCTCAAAAGCGAAGTGTCTCGATTGCCAATACTTGCCGGGCACGCTCGTACATTGGTGGCCACGATAAATTCCACATTCGCCTTCTTTCACGGGTGCTGCAAGAGATACTCGCTCGGCAACGTGGACACGATGCATCCCGCCGTGCGATCTCTCTACAAAGAGTTCTTGCACGCCGCAAAGGAGTATCCCGGCGGCATGGAAGTCGCAAGGAGAAAGCTGAAAGGGGCGTTCCTTGGAAGCGCAAAGGCTGACATCGCAAACCCACTCGTACTCGAGCAGCGCCTGGCGAGGGGGCGTTTTGTGCTGCGCGAGCTAGAGGCGTTGCGGCGATTACACAAGTACAGGTACGATGTGAGAGATTCGCAATCTCGACCTTTGGGCAACTGCGCCCCTGCTGAGGGTCATGTGGTCGATAACTCATCAGCGATGCAATCCCCTAGTTTTTGATTCGAGAGTATTAAGAGGCTTTGGGGCTAATGTCATGTTTTTTGCTTTTGTCTACAATACTACTACGCCGTTGTGAAGAGCGATGAAGAAGCGATACGATGCGGGACAATCAAAGAAGCCCAATATTTAGGTTGTTGCAATTTCGATGTCCACATTTTTGATGAATGGGGACGAGTCTATTTCTCTGCGAAGTAAGACTTCTCTTGTTTGGTCCGCGTGCGAGACCGCTTCATATTCCTTCAACCGGCCCCTGCAATAAATGCCGAACTGAAAGGGAATGAGAAGCCTTCTTGCCTGCGCACAGTGGACTTGCGTGCGAAGATCTTTAGTTATCAACGTAAACTGGAGACACTTCCTACATAGCTCAACTTCTAATCGGCGCGCGCCAGGGAACACTGGGGAAGCTTTCAATGATCCATGCAGACTCTTCGTTGCAATGCAGCAGTCGGTGGAGAACCAAAATGTGATGTCGGGTTTTAACAGTCATCGACACGTGTAATACGTGGCGATCCAGCCTGACTGTTAGATTTAAATAATAATTCGAAGCCCAGAAGCACAACAAGTGAGAAGCACCAGTGGTCCAGTGGTTAAGATCTCCGCCTCCCACGCGGAGGACCCGGATTCGATTTCCGGCTGGTGTACTCCGACAGGTGTTACTCGTGTAGAGCCCTCGAAGAACCAACTTTTTTTTTACAAAACAAGAGCGTCTCTTTTTGAGATAATGTTGCGTGTTCACAACAGAAAAGTCAATTTCACACGTCTGTTGCCATCAAAATGCGCACCTGATCGCCCCCGTAAACGCAAAATCTGCCTTCTTTTTTTATGAAAGAGCATGTATCGAGGATGGCGGCGCTTTCGATCCCTCAAGAGATGGACACAAACAAGCTAACAGAGGAGTCGCCTTTTCCTCGAGGAGCATCGAGGAAAAGGCGGAGGTTGTGAACGTACTTTACGTGATTGGAGCGATGGCTCATGGCAAGATTAGCGAAGAATGGGCAGTCACTCTTAGTCTTCATGAAGGTATCGTGTTTGTTGCGCAACGATATCAAAATGAAAGGAGGACCACCCCTCCCAAGGCTTTTGCGTTCTAATCGCCGACCCGTCAGTGCTGATGCTTGCGAGGCAGATAAGCGCTATTGCCCCACTTATCTAACGCAAACTAGCCCTTCCTCCGCGCCGTTCACCTCTCGGGTCCTCCCATCTTCATTTTCATCTCATCTGTGAAAAACTCTGTCGAGAAGTACTTAAACTGCCTGAACTTTGGAGAGTCAAACGGCATAATTCCGTTAGACATGAGATGTTCCCGGAGCTCGCAATATTGCACACTGTCTCCATCCTTGGCGAGCGTTCTCTCAAACTGGCTCATCAGTTTCTGTTCGTTCTCTGGGATTTGATGGAACCGGATCGGCTCCTCGCGGCTGTGCCACCGTTGCGAGTACCGCTTGTCACTAAGTACCTTACTAGGCCAAAACGGTATAAAGTGCCGCTCCCACTTGGACCGGCCTCCCTCGATTATCCGCAGCGGTACTCCGACTCGCCACATACACAAGCCTACTTGCATGTCGCCCGCCCAACACGAGCAGTATTCATGGATACACTCACCGAGGCGCGAGTAAACCTTTTCTATCGCTTTAGCGTTGATCACAATGCCACTACCGCCATGCGCAAACATACCCTTGGGCTTGGACGTGTCCGCCGCCCAGGTTCCATCACGTGCAAACCCGCCGCACCGCGAAATGAAGAATACCTTGCCCGTGTACACCGGCTTTTCGTCCATACCCTGCTGCATAATGTACCCGGCAAAGTTGTCGAGGAAGATGTACGTATCGTCGTCGAGCAGCAAGTACCACTTCTTGCCCGGAAACGTCGTTCGCAGTAGATGCAAGGCAGGAAGGTTCTTATCCTTGTCCCCCCTCCATCCGGTCTTGTCCCACTACTTTTCGGGCATCTCGCGCGGGTGTGTCTCGTTGTCTACACGGAGCATATCATGAGCGTACGTACGCCTTGAGACCGACCACGCCAAGATCTGCGTCGTCACTGTCGGACACGACGAGAATGTTGGGGACATCACGACCCACGCTCCACCATCCTGAACGGCGCAGAGTAGCCAGGCGGTGGGCCGCGACCTCGTGGCCCGTCTTTACGCCAAAGGCGACGTCATTCTTGACCTTGTCCCAGAGCTCGTGCGTATTTCCCGGGGCGGGGTTCTCCTGAACCCACTTTGCGCGTGCGGCGTCGATACGAGACAGCGAGGGGCCAGGGGATTGTTTGCCGTGACCGGTGCGCTGGGACAGAAGGAGAAGGAAGAGGAGAACAGTGGCAGAAAATAAAAGCAGCCTGACTGGGCGGCGTACGGAACCAAAGCGCCGGCGCAGCTTTCGCAGCGGCCGTGCAAGCTGCGCGTAGCAGCGGGCGAGACGTTTAGCTGGGGTGGGCATGTCGACGGAGAAGAAACGTGGGGCGGGAGAGGGGACTCGGGCGAGGGGGCGGGGCAGGGGGTGGGGGTGGGGGTGGGGGGATCGTACACGTGTACTTGGACAAATCATTTTTGGAAAGCCCTCGAAGAACCAAATTTTTTACAAAACAAGAGTATCTTTTTCCCCCTCTTTTTTTTTTGGGCCATTTGCGGATCTTGGGGTGACAGGTGCGGCTTTTGATGCCCTTGGGGAGGTGAAGTTCTAGCCCTGGGGGTGTTTTGGGGGCGACTACCCCAATTGAGGTGGCATTGAAGGGTGACATTCTTCATTCATCCAATTCCGAGGGTGACGTCGCCCTAAGAAAACGACATGTTGAAACATGCCGATCTTTGTCTGTGTCTATAGGGCGACATTGGATCGTTTTCTGAGATTGATGTGATTTCAGTTGGAAATATAGGGTGACTTCATATGCGAAACACCGGCAACTTCTACCCACTCTATCTACATACAATTACATACAGTATTTTCCGTATTTTCCATACCACGGAAGCATGTTTACCTAGTGTTTTCATCCCCATAAAGCTGTCTCAGTGCACAATCAGTAACAGTATGCGTCTCAGAACGACAAAGAGAGCAAGTATACTTCCTCTTTGATGGCGCAGGTCCGTTCTCATACCAGCTCTTCTTACTTTTTCCCGGGTTTTTCACTGGCCTCCCACGAGGAGGAGGGATAGCTTTGGGAATTCTTAAGTTCTGACCAAAAGCTGCTAACCGTTTCGCTTGTTTGATAACTTTGTCGACAGAGTATTGCGCCGGCATTGAGTAACACAAGCAGTAGTAATTCTCTTTCCATGCTTTCGTCAAATGTCGTCGCGCAACGTGCTTATACAAATTATTAGATCCGTACTTCTCACATATGACAGCCGTTCCGTGATAGCAAGGAAAACCGGAACCATCTCGTGAATGCATGCAGCATGAAGGGGGCGTGTTTGGCTCTGAACGCATGACTACATGCCTCAAACGCGTTCCGTCCACCACGCTTCGTACCGTCGCTTCCATTTGCCCCGTTCCCTCTACAAACCTAACAGACTCCTTATAAACTCTTGATCTCTGAATGAGTACCGCAAGACGTTGTTCAATGTGAGGTGGTACGGGACTCTTGCAGTTCATTGCAGTTGCTTGCCGCTTCAAAAAGGCAGTTCGCTGTGTCGACACAACTTTCTCCAGCATCTTTTGAGGCTCCACTGTCCTGATGTGGTTTCGCAGGGCGGCGGACATACCACTTTCAGCTCCTTGAGATGTCGTGATTAGATCTTGCAACATCGAGCATGCTCTGTACAGCTCACTGTCATCAAACCTATTAAGGTAATCTGACATCTTCATCGGGAAGTCTTTTTTGGCTTGAATAACCTCATCCCTGCTTGGGTTTCGAAGCGCTTTATCGTACATGCGCACACCAACAACCTTTCCCGCACCCAGTGCTGTAGCGAGATTTTTTCGGACATGCAGTGGGTCCAGGAACAACTTCGCGTGCTGCATGCACCGCTTGTACGCTGAGTCGATAGATTTCTCCTGGTCGACAATTGTCGTCCTCGTAGGTACATCAAACCCTGGGATATCCGCGGCGGCAGCAAAAACTTTCTCCCACGTGTCCATTCCCTCAGCTCCCACGAAATGGGCGAACACCAAGGGGCAGAGTTGATGGTTAGTGTCGTATCCGAACACTTCAAATGTGGTTCCGTAAGAACGGCGGCCCAAACCCTCGCAATGAGCGGCATCCACTGCGCATGTCATCCTGCCCTTTCTACAGAAAGCTTCTGCAACCATCGGGACGAAGAGGAACCCGCCATAATATTTACCCTCATCCGCAATATCCGAGACGTCCACATCCTCTACATTAAACCCGGATTGTAGGGATCTTAGTTTTTCAGAGTATGAAAGTTTTTGCTGTTGTTTGTATATGAATCGTGCAGCCTTGATGCGCTGCGCCTTCATTTCCGTACCGGACAAGATGAAAATGTCCACCCTGTGCCCCAATTCCCTCAACAGATCAGAGTATTCTTCCAGGGCAGCCATGTCAACGGCTCGAGCAGCTGAGATGTATCTGTTCAGCTCGCGCCTCACAGCGCGAATGTGTGAGTTTGCTGGTTGTCGACGGTAAATTGACTTCGCCCTTAAAATGGACGCTAGGACGCTGGTGGGCATGTCAGGGTTCAAGGCGAACTCATCACGAAGCGCCCGTGCGGTCTGCTCAGCGGTATACGCCGGTCTAATTTGACAGGACTTTCTGTCGACTGACTGCCCATAGCACTGGTTTTCGTGCTCTTGGAACCGATTCAACTTCCACAATCCCGATTTCGGTTGCCGATTAAAAGTGAGAGTTGCGGCACAATGCTTTCGTCGACAGTCCATACGCACCATTTCGAAGTTTTTCACCACATTCACTCCCTCCGGCACACCCAAATTCGCAGTATATGCTCGAATGAGCTGCTCGCAGCGCCATCTTCCGGAAAGCTGAATCCCAACCTCAGGGGTATACGGGACGCATCGCCGGGGAACCCACGTCATCTCTGCTACTCTATCCGCCGCTATTTCCGCCATTGCCTTCCGCTGACTTCTCTTTTTTGAAGCTCTCTTTTGTTCCGCTCGCCGTTTCTTCTGTTCGTCTTCAGACAAAGTTCTGAGGTCAACTGGCAACACCCTTTCAGCCGCAGCTGCTGCATCACAAGCTTCTCCATTGCTGCTGGTGTCTTCAGGCGTGACGGCTATGTACGCTCCGAAATCAAAGTCATCGTCGTCAATACATTCCGGGCGAGGGGAACGAGAGGAATCTGCTTCATCTTCCATCGAGCTTTCTTCTTCGGCATCAACATCCTCATCGTCCTCTTCCTCATCCGAGTTCACCCCGTCACCCCCCTCTCTATCCCAATCATCGTCAGGCGCCCCAACGAACTCCGCTTCCTCACCATCTGGGCCGTGACCCATTTTAGATTCAAACTCTCTACCCAGGACATCGGTCATAAAATCGGTTCCGTCAAACGAAGATGTATGGATCCTGGGGGAATTATTCCGAGCCCCTCCTTGGCTCCTTGATTCATGACGATCCCTTCGTTCCCTCCTCTGCCTCTCTTCTCGTTTCCGCGCCTCATTATCCATACGTGCTCGTTCCTGATAAGACATTCTCTTCTCTCTGCGCTCCCTAGCCATCCGTTCCCGCCTTTGCGTAATCGTCTCAGGCTTTTCCACCTGACATATGTCTTCGTCTTCCGTTTCCCATTCTTGTCTCATTTCCTTCTCCCTCCGCTGATGTCCCCATTCACTTTCCGCTGAGCCTTTTCTTTCCCTCTCTTCCTCCAATGCCTGCTCTTTTTCTCTCTCCGCTTCCTCCCTCTTCGCACGTACTCTCTCCTCCTCTAGCCCCTGCTCCCTTTTACGTCTCAACTCCTGAGCTCTTTCTTCTTGCATCCTTTCTTCACGATTGCGACGCCCCTCCCTCTTTTCCCTTTCTTCACTTTTTTCCGTTTCTTTGCTCCTATCCTCGCCTTTTTCCGCTTGAGAAGACATTTCCTCCTCCTCAGCCATGACCTTTCTTCGAATATTCTCCCTTTCCTCCCTTAACATGAGTTCGAGTAGTTTCTCCTTCGAGGTTGGAATGAGTGTAAAAAGTAGTGTTGCGGGAACCAAATTTGAAGCATCTTCCCCGTTTTCCGTCTCATCAAAACGAATGTCTCTCTCAGCTTGTTCTTTTGCGCGAGTGAGCTTTTGCATAGCTTTATTCGCGGAGGAGCGATCCGACACACATCTGTCCGGATGAACAAGAAAAGAGAGCTTCTTGAAACGCTTTTGTATATTGCGCAAAGTGGGCTCGTCACTTTCGTCCGCCGTATCTCCGGGATGAGCGCAACAAAAGACGTCAATTACGGGCGTTTCGTTGATGATGATTGTCCCAAAGTGATGCAGGGCCTTTCTGGTGTCTGGCGGAAAAGATCGCATTATCCCGCCAAAATATGGCAGAGAAAAAGGGGAAAGAACAGAGGGTGACAGTGAAAAGCGAGCTGCGGTGCGAGGGATACTTCCGAAGGATGGATTTTTGTGGGGTGACTCTCGGAGAAAGTGGTCGAGGCGCAGGCCGAGGCGCAGGATATTTGACAAGAATATCTGCGCTGCGGACGCCCTACAAATGAGACACTCATGCCGGCCAGAAACACTGTTTCTGGAGGACCAGTAGTTTCATACGAATTGCTCAATTTTTGCAGATAATGCGCCATACATGCCATTTGTGCAATGTCCGAGTGTTTACCAGAGCTTTGAGGCCCACATTTACGTCACATATCCGACACGCCCCGTGCCAGCGCCCGCCGCCCATCGCCGCGCCCCCGCGCCTCCGCCCATCGCGCCCATCGCTTGCTTGCCGAGGCCCACCGCCACCTCGGCCGTCGCAACGGTTCAAACAGCACCAATCGAGCACGGTCATCGGCCGAAGGGAGAGGGCGTCCCCACATACTGTGATCCGAGGATGAGATCCTACGACCTGGTTCCAGGACGCTACTCCTTGAGTTTCCATCGGACGGAGACCGCCGTTTCGAAGCCTCGATGCTATGACTCGCAATGGCCTCTGTCGTAAAGCCGGCATTTGAGATCAAAATAGATTCAAGATTCCGCTTTTCATTGGCGCGACGCAAAATGTTCTCCTCAACGGTCTGCTCACTCACCAAGGGGTAAATGTTTACCGGCTTGGTCTGACCAATGCGATGTGCACGGTCTTGAGCTTGGTTGTCGACTGCGGGATTGTAGTCTGTGTCGTAAAAGACCACAGCATCTGCTCCTGTTAAGTTCAGACCAACTCCACCTGCACGGGTTGTCAGAATCATGCAAAAAATTCGTGAATCTGTGTTAAACCTCTCCACAACTTTCTGCCGATCGTCTGTTTTCGTTGTGCCGTCCAGCCGAAGATATTTTAGACCATGCAAGTTCAGAAACGACTCCAGAATGTCGAGCACCTTCGTCATCTGCGTAAAAATCAGTGCTCGTGAACCAGCAGCTTGAAGCTTTCGCAACAAACGATCAAGAGTTTGCAGCTTGCCACAGTCCCACTGAATCAGACGGGTATCTGGTATTGTAACCTTGCTACGTACTTCAAAAGGTCTGAACAAGCACTGAAGTTGATGCGTCGCCCGGTTCAGCTGTGTAAAACATTCTGTTGCAGATAGGTGGAAAAGATCGTCGTCTCGATAGCGAAGCTCGACAGTAGGCGCAGATGCTCTTGTTATACAGCAAACGAACCGATCCGCGAACGGTTTGCCGGTTCTGGCCACGCTCTCTAGAGTGCGCAATAGAAGGGAAGCATTGGCAGGGAGAAAGCGGATCGCCTTTGCATGACAAAATCGTAGACCATCTACAAGAGATGAGGGATTCATTGTACATGCATCACGCAAATCTTGACCGAGCAATGCGTGTTGCCTGATACGCATTGCAGACAGTTGGGCTTGATATCGAAGCTGAGAGCGCCGAAAGGATACCACTCTATCGCTTGCAGCTCGACTGGGATTATATCCGAGCATTCGCCAATCGTCTGGAACGTCACATGATGATTTCTTCGTAAGAAGTTCATTCCAAATGCACGATTCTGCAGAAATCTTCAACGCTTCAGCAGCATGCCATTTACCTGGCCACTTCTGCTCAATGGAACAGAGATCCAAACAGAGAAGGTCGAGATTGATTGTCCTTTCTGGTGGTTTCGAAAGAGCTCTCGCCACTAGTGCGGGAACGGGATAGAAAACCGGACGCATGGAGAGAGGAGACAGAATCTGACGTCCAACGACGATGGCGACGACCCCCCCCTACGACAGCGTCACCGGCGACGACGATGATGCCCGCGTCCTGCATGGCCTTCGGTGTCGTCGGAACGTGCGTGCCGACAGGCGAGTGCGCCGCGATGGGCTCGTTCTCCGAGGCAGGGCTGTGCCCTGGACCGGCAGATATCCAGTGCTGCGTGCCAAACTTCGGCGCTTGCTTCTCGGGAGAAACTGGGCGCACGGGGACGTGCACGAAATCGTGCGGTTCGGGGACTGTGGAACTTGGACTTTGCCCTGGCGATGCGTCTATCACATGTTGCCTTTTGTAGTGCTGTAGCTTGTAAAATGGGTTTGTTCCGTCTACGTAAGTGATTTGGTGAGTGCATTGGATAGGAAGGTTGGCGGATTAAGGGAGGCGACGTCTCCCGGCCTTATTCAGTGGAATGAACCCGGATGACTTGACCAGTGGGCAGAGTGGGAGCCTGGAATGCAGACGAGAGCAACCCAGAGGCAGTTCCAGTTCCAGTTCAGCTGGGGGTCTTTATGTATAGTATAGCTCTTCCAACGACCCTCCTCTTCGGTGATACAGCGCAGTGCTGTGCATATTGCACCACAGCGTGTACAATGCAGCTTGATTATGTATATGCACTGATGTATGGCGATCTTGACTTGTTCCAGCAGACAGTGCTTCCGTATAGCTACTCAGAACTGCCTGCTGAACTGTGAGGGCTTCTCATGATCTGAGAGCATTCCTGCCTTTGAAGCAATCAACAAGAAAGGCACTACATAAACGCTCGCCGCATGAAGAGCTGGTTACATTCTCCACCTAAGGTTCGACGTTGCAATCCGGTCGCAGGACTCGGACCCACCAAAGAAAAGCGAGGCCAGAAAGGGAGACGTAACACGACGGCTGCCGCAGAGGGTACTTTACAGCTCTGGCGGCGTGGGACGGCCGCCTTACATGGCGCTTTGGCCGATGTCTCGCAAGCCGCGACCGCCAATGCCAGGGGCGCGGCGCTCGCTAATGCCAGGGATTAAAATGCAACCTCCCCCGAGTGCGCCACACGCGCCAAGGGTGCGGCGCTCGCTGATGCCAGGGGCGAAGATCCAACCTGCTCCGGGCGCGTCAGACGCGAAAGCAACGTCTCGTCCCAGGTCCACCACTCTCATGTCCCCTTCCATCTCTTCTGCAACTCCTCCTTCTTCGCCGTGAGCAGCTCCCTCCTCGCGACGGTAGCAACCCGTTCGGCAACGCGGTCCTTCCCCGCTTCCTCCGCCTGGCCGACCCTTCTCTCCCTCTCTTCCAACTTGCGCACCCACGCATGTAGCCTCCCCTGCTCGACGCCCGAGTACTTCAAGCTGGCGAAGAAGGAGCGGGAGGGGCGGGGGATGAACACGAGCAGCGTGAGGGCTTCTTGGAATTGACAGGGACTTTAACTAGCTCCCTCACTTCAGCCACGCGCAAATGTTTTGCTTCATCTCCGCCAAGGAGACGAAGCACATCTTCGGTTAATGCGAACGGATACCTTGAAGCGCTATCATGGACAATACCACGGTTGCAGTCCAGCGCAACGCAATGATCTACAATTCCGTGTTCCACTATTCGGACTATCCACACGCCTTGATTATGGTGCGCAAGCCACTTGAAAGGATTTGCATCGAACGCCTTCTTCACAGCTTTAGGAACTCGGCGCACTGATAGTTGAGCGGGAATTTGGTGAACCAGAGAAAAGAGTTGCTTGAGTGTTTTGATCTTCATCGGATGCTTCCGAAGGTACTTGTCGAGGCTTGTTCCTCCTGTGGTACCATATAGCGCACAAGTGCCGTTGGACAGCGCAGCCGACACGCATGAATCGTCGTTGCTGCGCACGAGGTTCGGGCCATACTGGTGCACCTCAAACCTTCTTGATCCAGTGATTTGTCCGCGTGCCCCAATACCACCGATGAGTATCGGTACACCGCGATGGGCCATCATCCACGCATACAGTCGACGGAACATCTCTTGCAAAAACTTTTTCTTGCGCGGCAAGTTGTTGGTACCATCATCTATCGCGTTTAATAGAGCCTTCATCGTGTGAAGGGATAGTGTAATCGAATTGGCATCGATAGGCCAGAAACTTTCGTCACCGCCTGTCAATCCGGCGGCAGCGTACAAAACGCCGTCTTGCATTTTGTGGCCGCTTGCCCCTTGTCGGCCATCACCAATCATCACCCTGTCAATCGCCCAGCTCATGGTGTCCAAGAATACTAGGAATGTTGCACCTCCCCGGAGATCTGCACAAACTTCCGTTCTTAATGGACACGCGTGAGATGGGCGCCGGGCTCTTTGGTGCGGGTTCCGGGTCACTTGGAGACGCGGCCGCGGTGCACCGTGCTAGAGGCAGGGTGAGCAAGGCGATGAAGAAGACGGGTGAGGGCATTGCGGCGAGATGTGCGGGGGGGGAGCTAGGGAACGTAGACGCCGAAAAATGCCGGGTTCAGAAGGCAGAACGTACGCTGCGTGACCGCGCGTCACCGTATGCCACTGTGGTGGGCACTGGGCGGCCTCTATAGCCACACTATATTGTTTCAGTTTTGAGAGCGCTTTATCCAGCGCGAAACCGTGCGTTGGCGTGCTTTTATAGGGGTGACATTAAAACAATCATGCATTTCTAGGGCGACTTTTCTAACATTTAGATCTCTGCCGAAATGCCACGATGGTATACGTTTTTATGGGGTGACATCCCCGAATATGAGTTTGTCGGAGGTGACTTTACGATCGTTTTTCTGTCACCCTAGAAAACGTGCATTGTCACCCCCTGAAAAGGACACCATGGACCAAAATCACCCTACTAGCAAAGCACTTTTTAGTAGTGTCGCCCTATAAAAAACCCCACCGCATTGAAATCGCCCCACGTAGATTTCACTTTGGCCGGGTGTCGCCCCAAAATCTACACTTTGACCCTTTTTTTTCTTTTTTGGGTGGTCTTTTTTTCTTTTTTTTATGAGAGAGCATGCATCGAGGATGGCGGCGCTTTCGATCCCTCAAGAGATGGACACAAACAAGCTAACAAAGGAGTCGCCTTTTCCTCGATGAGCATCGAGGAGCATCGAGGAGCATCGAGGAGCATCGGGGAAAAGACGGATGTCGGAGGGCGGGATGGTGGGGAAGGTGGTAGGGGTTTACTTAGTGCTTGCTTAGTGCTTGGTGCGTCGGTTTTTCGCTACGCGCGTCGGTTTTTCGCTTCGCGTCTCAGTTGATGGTCAATTTCCAGGCATGTAGTCATCTTCACATGCGCCGAACCGGAAACATGCCACCACGTTCAGCATCTGTTGGGTGCAAATGTTTCGCCCTTGGCGACATCTCTCACGTGCGGTGTACCTGCATCTTCTCCTGTCTTCACCTGCTCTCTTCCCTTCTCGCTGTCCTGCAACAGCGGAGTTCCGCTAGGCTTGTGGCGCTAAGCACACGCTCTGCTAGCAGCATGCAGCGCCATGGCGAACGTCTTGAGCAAGGAAGCGGAGAGAGCTTCATTTCTGCCCGTTGCCAAAAAGAGGTGGAGCCTTTGTGGGGAACGCTTACCCCTGACGTAATTTCAGAAAGCATCTTGCAATTCGGACGGTCTTCGCTCTGAATGCCAGGACTGTAACCGTAGCCGGGCGGAAGCTCATTTTCAAGAAATATCAGCTGCGCAATGCCTTTCGCCCGGTCTGACCAAGACGTGCAAAGGATGCAAAATGACCTTGGACGTCAACGCGTTCCATGTGCTCAAGACCGCAAGGGACGGCCGTAGTTCGAAGTGCTCTGCTTGCAATTCCAAGGAAAAGAAAGCTGCTGCTGCTGCACGCAGAGCGCCCTCGCCGAATGCCGAGCGGCAGTGTCGTGTCTGTCGTGCGTGGAAGACTGTGGGACACTTCCGGGTAGATACCACATGCCGGTTAGGAACGGAATCGACTTTCAAGAGCTGTCAAAAGGCAAAAGAAGTAGTACAGCGAAAGGAACACAAGAAACGGAAGTGTGATTCGCTAGGGGCCGGAGACCATATTGAAACGATGAAACGCCGGATTCATATTGTGGTGACTGGTGCCAGACGCAGAAACCTGGATGTAAAGCCCGAGCATTTGGAAACCATCACTGGAAACCCTTGCAGTTATTGCGGACGTCTGCAGAACCCGGACCTGGGAGTGACGGTAGATAGGGTTGACCCGAGCGATGGGTACGTTCCTGAAAACACTGCCCCAGCCTGCTGGCCTTACAATCGAGCTAAGGGGGTTCATGTCGTCGAACGCTTCATTTGGAAAATGTCGCTGATTGCTGGATACACGAAGGATGGGAAGACAACTGACAAGGACGAGGATGACCTAATTGAATACGGAGCAAGCATCGGTCTGAGTCACGTGAGACCTGTGGCACGCGATCAGCAGAATTGGCTCATTACACTCACAGCTGACGAGGTAGATCTGTGGTGTTTTACTTGCTTTTTCTGTGGATCTTCGGCGTTTGGGATTGACAGATTAACCCCGGGATGTCATGGAGGTAGTTTTTGCACCGAAAACGCCGCCCTTTGTTGCTGGGAGTGCAATAGCTCAAAAGGGAGACGTGACGCCTGGAGCGTTTTGTAGTGCAGTGACCGTGCGCCCTTTATCCCTGGTCACCGCCGTCGCGGGGCCGCGCTCCCCGCTTTTGACACGTGTACTGTGCGCACACACTTGGGAAGGTACCACACGTGGACACACGTGTGGCACACGTGTAGGACAGTCGTATGACACGTATATGATACGTGTACGACACGTGTACGACACGTATACATACGTAGTGCCCACAAGTTTCTACGCTAATTAGCGTGTAATGCCTAGTGGCAATTCTAATGACGATAATTAATTAATAATTACCCATTTAGTAACCGACGCCGACGACGGCGCTCGGCCTATATAGGTCGGGTGTCGGAAGGCGCTACAGTAAAGAGGCATGAGGTGATCGGACCCCATCTCTGGTGGGATCCTCTACGGTTCCTATCTAGTTGGCTAAGTCTGGTACCTGCACCCTTCGTCGTCATCCTTTTTCTTGTTTTTCCTTTACTTTTTCCCCTATTTTCTACGTTTCTACGCTACACTTGTCCTTCCTTCTTTCTTCTGCCTTGTGTGGTACCGTCGATCCTCCGGTGCGGATCGAGGTACAGACTCGGGTTCTGTAGCCCGAGTCTCTCCGGGGAGACCAGTCCCGTGCAGGGACAGCGCAGTAGAAACACTGCAACAGCATAGACCGGGAAAGCTGTGGTAGAGGGCAGAGAAGAGGAAAAGGCAAAGAAGGGTAGATAGCCGTAAGGATAGCGAACCGGTGAAATAGGGACAGCTGTAGGGATAGCCAACCTGTCAGAAAGGGGAAGAGGAAAGGAATCGCGCAATATGACACTCGTACGTACGACCCGAAGGAAGGAAGCAACCTAAAAGGGGGACCCCTGGGTGTGGGTACGTACCAGAGACTCGTCCTAGTAGCTCCAAGATCCAGAGAACCGAGGGTGATTGCTTGCTTTACGAAGGGGGAGGTGGCACCGGCAGGTCGGGTAAAGTACCGCCGGTGACACTGTACTATAATTACAGTTTGGCTACTGTAAGGGGTGGGCTTACAGCCACTACTCTCGGATTGGATCAGCGACACGGTTGGATCCAGAACCAGATCCGAGTATGCCACCTGTGCACCTGTAACACCCTACCGATACCATATGTATTGTACGACACCTTGTTGTGTTGTTCTTCTTCGACGCTGTCGATAGCGGTCCGCGACGGGACTGCCACACCCACTCCTTCTAGTTACTCGATCCCGAGTACCCCTTCACGCGCTGACCGCGACTCTACCCGCGATTCTCGTGTTACCTCTGAGCTACCACGGACAGAGGGCCCCGAACACCCTGGTGGTGACTGGACATACCGCTTTCCCTCATAGCGAGATTTACGCCCTCGTTGGCGAGTGTGTCCACTGCACTACATTTTGGTCTCCCGACCTAGAAAGAGTGTACACACGATGAACAATTCACGAAAAACCCGCCTTCCTGGCGTCAAGACTCGAGCCGCGAGCAGTACACAGAGCGATCGAGCGCCGGGCCAAGATGCGCGAGATACCCCAAGAACTACCGATCCGCTCCCAGCGGTGGCTGTGGATGCACCGCCAGATCAGGACCAACCAACTCCGATAATGGAGAAGCCCAGCGCGAGCAGCGGGGCGCGTACCCCAGACGTTGGGAAGATAGCCGACGTCGAGGCTACAGTGGTCTCCCTCGTTCGCGAACGTATACTTCATATTGAAGATACTCTCACGGTTCTGCGTGCTAAAATCTCCACGATGGAGGCGCGTCATGACCGCGCAGACGCTGAGCTGCGCCTTCTACGTGGCGACGCTAACTCCGTTCTGGAGGATCTCCAGATTCCGGACGCTATCGACGGGTCAATCAGAATAACTACCCGCGATGTAGTGGCTCGGATGGTCAGAAGACTCGAATCGGTCGAGGAGCAACTCCACGGTGGAGGTGACGAGGCCGACCTCGAGGAACAAGATGAACCCCGAGTTGCCAGGAAAAATACTCCGAGAGGAGGAGCTCAAGATTTCGAACGCCACATTGGCGAGCAATCGAGGAGATCTCGAGAGTCGCGAAAATCGCGCAAGAGCAAGAAGGATCGCTATGATCCTGATTGGAATCCATACCCTCCGTCCTCTGACGATTTTGACGACGGTGAGTAGGACCCGTCGGATGACGAGGAAGCCTCAAGTGAGGATGCTGGTGAGCGCCGTAGACGAACGCCGCAAGGGGGGAGGCACGGTCGCCAGCTTGGGCAGAAGCACCCCGGACTGAAGGTGCTTCGACCCACAAATCGCCTCTTCGATGGCGCTTTGGACTATCGCCGTCACAGGCTGACAAGGCGTCACAAACGCCGAAGTGGGCGAGAAACCCGTAAAGTCAAGGATCACATTAGATCAATCCAAACGGGCGCTCCCGAACTTCGTTTCGACGGGAGTGACCCCATTAAGGTTTTGCGTTTTCTATCTCGTTTCGTCGAGGAATGTGAGACAAACTCCATGAAGGAGTAGCAGCGAAGCATTTCCTGCAAGGCCAGGCAAGAACGTAGTTCGATGCGACAAAGCAGATGGACTCCTTCGATGGAGGAATTTCGTACTGGCCCGAAGCGGTACAGTACCTGCTACGCACTTATGCGACAAACGACGCCATCAGCGGTGCAATACTCGATCTTCGAGATGTGCGCCAAAAGGCGGAAGAATCAGAAACCCGTTGCAGCGCTCGTCTGCTGGACGCGGAGTTTCGTTGCGGTAACGTGCACGACGCCGATGAACGAATTATAATGTTCATTGACGGGCTCAATCCGGGAATCCGGTCTCTCGTATAGCGATATCGCGAGACAGAACGTCGAATGAGACGAAGTCGTCGTGACGGAATCACGTTCTTGGATATCGTCCAGTACGCCCAGAATGAAGGCGATGCTCTTCGGGCCCGCTTCAGTGGCGGAAGAAACGCTGAACATGGCGGAAAAAGGCAGGTCGGCATTTTGAAGCCGCCGACCGGACTGGCGCTATCGCGCGCCGGACAACATCGAATGATGATGACAGAATCTTCTGCTGACTCTCGGCCGGCAATGGGCGAAAACTACGCCATAGGTGGCGAGTCGATGCACCTTATGCAAGGAGATTGGTCGCCTGTGCCGACGGCGGAGCTACCCTCGACCACCGAGACGCAAACGGACGACCCGGAGTCAATGATGCTCACAAGGGGCCCGTACGGTCGCGTTCCTGCCCCGGTCATCCGGGGACAGGAACATTCACGCCATGTCCGCGCTGGCCGTCCTCGCTGGCAAATTAACGTGCGAGGAACTCCGAACTTGGAGAGGCCACGTGGTAACTTAATTTGCCACAAGTGCTACGGGCCGAACCACATCGCACCAGACTGCGTAGTTCAACTCTCGATTGCCGAGTCAACTCGTATCATACGAAACTACGACAACCTTTCTGCAGAAGTAAAGCAATGCGTACCAGCGGACAGCTATTGGAAGTTATGAGCCCTTGACGAGATCGTCAACACCCGGGCTCGCGACCTCCGGAACGCGGAAGCCGCGAAAACTGACGCCCACCAAGGCGGTACAGTGTCCAAAGACAACCAGGGAAACTGACTTCGGGAGTCCGCGTCGAATCGGAGGCGAGAGGGCCTCCCCCGGCTACCTGGAGCCTGACGCCGGGCGGCGAAGGTCGTCCCTCCCCAGTGAAGATCCTGTCAAGGAAGGATATGTTGAACCCCAAACATGGGAGCAAGCTCAGCGAGCTACGCCGACCATGGCGAAAATACGTGCCCCCACGTTTAGAAGGTACCATTATGGTGATGGCGAAGCGCAATTACAAGTGCTATGCCGACTACGGGCTAGTCCCGGAACTTTTGGGAAGGAAGATCACAGTGCTAGACACTGGTGCTGGGCCAAACTTTATTCGAAAAGATGAACTACCCCCGCAGTATATGGAGAAAATGAAACCAGGATCAACCCTGAACATTCGGGATGCAAACCGCAAACCAATTTTAATAAGTGGGACAATTGATCTGGTTGTCAGAATTGGTTCGCGAATTACTCGCGTAACATTCCTCGTATGCGAGCGCCTGGCGGCTGGAGTTGTCCTGGGATGTGACTTCATGGACCGTTTCGTGGAAGCCTACCCACGCCGCAAGACGATCGAGCTCGACTACGGGTCCTCGGTCCCTATTACGAGAAGGCCACTCAGGCGACCGCCGAACGCACCGCCATTGCTGGCGTCCCAAGAATTCGCCAAGGCAGGCGGTCCGACATCACCTCGAGTCAGCGTCACCAAGCCAGTCGTGCTTGAACCTGGAACGCAAACATTCGTCTCTGTGACGTCAAAACGGAACGGCCTCATGGTCCTACAGCCGCAGGAGAAACTCTACACAAAGAGTCAAGTCGTCGCCTCCAATGGCGTTGTGCAAGTCGAGCCAAATCGCGAGTTCCGCGTGCTCGTTGCCAATTTTGGCATCGCGCCTTATCGGCTTGTTAAGGGCCAAACGATCGGCACTTTGCTGCCACATCCGACCGCTGTTATAGCGAGTAAAGTCAGCGTGGCTGCAATGCTAGGCCTCACCGATGAGGAAGCGAACGAAGTCCAACAAGACTTCGACAAGGACGCCAACCGGGCGGTAGAAAACACCTCTATGGCGAGCAATCCGGATGACGTGGATCTCTCACACGTCCTGGCCCGCCATCGTGATCAGATCAAGGCTATGCTACTCAAGTACAGCTCCATGTGGAGTGGGGAGCTGGGCGAGATCAAGGTAACGAAGCATCACATCGATACGATGACTGGAACGCGACCGATCGCGCAAAACCCCTACTGAGCAGGACCAGACGCCCGGGAGGCGGAGATGAAAGAAGTAGACCGTATGCTCCGAGCCGGAGTAATCGAGCCGTCGAAATCAGCATGGGCCTCACCGGTTGTACTGGTGCCTAAGAAGGACGGGCAGTTGCGCTTTTGCGTGGACTACGGGCGGCTAAATGCCGTGAAGATACGGGATTCATACCCGTTGCCTCGAATGGACGAGTATATAGACTCCCTAGGAGAA